CGACTGTCTAACGCCATAGCGGAGACAGCGCAGCTCAAGCTCCCCGACCTGACCAGACCGTTCGTTGTACAGACTGATGCGAGCGATCTGGGTTTAGGAGCTGTTCTCCTACAGGAATACGATGGCGTGCTGCAGCCGTGGCCTTTGCCAGCCGCTCCTTGGTCTCTGCGGAGAAAAATTATTCCGTGACCGAAAAGGAGTGCCTCGCCATCGTGTTTGCACTGCGGAAGTTTGACGTCTATCTTGATGGGACGAAATTCGTAGTGCAAACGGATCACAGTGCGCTCAGCTGGCTGATGCGGCTCCGTGAGCCTGCCGGCAGGCTGGCGCGCTGGGCTCTCCTGATACAGCACTATGACTTTTCGGTGCAGTATCGAAAGGGGAGCACCAACGTGGTAGCTGACGCGCTATCTCGTGCCCCACTGTCGGCCGAGGACCTTGATCCCGGTGCGACCGCCGCTAGCGGTGCCTTAGCACTTGCAAGCGTCGCGGGCGAAACAGCAGCTTCGCCGCCGTTCGGCGTGAAGGGTGAGTCCCCATGCGGACAAACCTTGGCTGCTAACCAGGTAAGCGGCGCACCGCGAAGCGGCCGAGCGGGGGAGCTCTCCGAAGGCCACGAGGCCGAGAGCGAACCCGTAACGCCGACTCAAGCGGTTGTTGCTGCGGTCCTGAGTGGGCGCGATACCAGACTCCCCCATTTTGGGAGAATGGGCATCGCTTTCAGCAGAGAAGAGCTTCTGAAGGCCCAGCAAAGTGACCCGTTTTGTCGCGAAATATGCGACGGTCTCAGAGAGATGGAGCGCCGTGACGCTGCTTGTCCTGCAGCGGGCGCCGATAACGACTGTCTCGACGAGACGGAGCGCCGTGACGCTGCTTGCCCTGCAGCGGGCGCGAATAGGGGGCTCGAACCAGCGTGTGTCGCTGAGTCCCCGGCGGATTCATATTTGCTGGACCATGACGGGCTCCTGCTGAAGTATATAGCCACTGACGACGAGTCCATAGACCCGTTTAAGGTGGTTATGCCCAAAAGTCTGAGAGCCGCACTGTTGCGATCCTCTCACGACGAACCCATGGCTGGTCACCTGAGTGGCTCGAAGGTTTTTGCAAAACTGAGCCGCGTTGTGACCTGGCCCGGCATGAAGCGAGACATTTTTCGCTACTGCCGTTCTTGCCGCGTCTGTCAAACGGTGAAATCAAGGGGTGGCAAACCGCCCGGTCTGATGAAACCGATTGCCAGTGAGCGTCCGTGGCAAGTGGCCACCTGCGATCTAATGGGACCATTTCCCAGAAGTAAGCAGGGGTTCATTCACCTGATGGTAGTCGCTGATCATTTTTCGAAATGGGTGGAACTTTTCCCACTTCGGAAGGTGACAGCGCGAGCGGTGCTTGAGAAGCTGCAGGAAGTGTTTTGCCGGTTCGGCTTCCCGGAAAGGCTCATCACTGACAATGCTTCTTATTTCACCGCTCGGGTGTTTGGTGTCACGTGCCGTTCCCTCGGAATTGATCACTGCACCACTTCACCCTACCATCCCCAGTCCAATTTGACGGAGCGCGTCAATCGTACGCTCAAACCGATGTTGGCGGCCTTTGCCGAAAGTCAAAGGGACTGGGCAGACCATTTGAGTGAGCTCGCGTTCGCTATTCGAACATCCGAGAGTCGCTCAACTGGTTTCTCGCCCGCCTTCTTAAATTTTGGAAGGGAGTTGGCAAATCCGGTGACCAGCGTCACTCAATGCCAGCTCGAGGACGAGGAGGCGCCGGCAGACTGCTCTGCTTACGCGTCGGCACTTCGGGACAGGCTTTGTCGAGCTTTCTGCAAAGCAAGGCAAAGTTTGGCGTCGGCCAGGGCTCAGCAGAAGGCCCAATATGACCGCAAGCATCGCGACCTAGTTTTTGAGGTGGGCGATCTTGTCCTGAAGCGCAACCACGCCCTTAGCGATGCCAGTAAGGGGTTCTCAACCTCGCTCGCTCCTAAGTGGCTTGGGCCGTACCGAGTGGAGAAAGCTTGCACTCCACTCGCGTACTTGCTGAAAGATCCCCAGACGGGAAAACTCAGCCGTGCCCATATCGCAGACCTGAAACCCTTTGTATCACGGTCTGACGAGCTCGCGCCAGAGCCCTGCGGCACTGCGCGCCAGCAACGGGGCACACCCGGAGCGGCGGACCGCATTCGGACCCCGCGCCGGTATAATCTGAGGAAGCGGTCACCTTTGTGATCTCGCGCCGGACGGCGGACTTCTCCGCAACCGAAGGCCCTCAGTTTAGTCTAGCCTCAGTATAGGTTAGCTTCTTTACGGTTTTTTCTCGTAAAGAAGTTGACCCCGCCCTGTCTGCTGCCAGTGTTTCTTTTTTTTTTTTTGAAGTGTTCGTGTGTATTTTATGTTTCTTTTGTCTAATATTAAGTGTTATTTGTATTTTGTTTTTTTGCCAGATGTTTAGTGTCAGTATGCTCTGTGTTTACTTTTTTTTTTTCGTGTTCGTTTCGTCTACCGCGAAGGGAGCTGTGTGTGACCTTGAGTGTCGGTGCTTGCCGGGGGAGAGAGACGAAGGACGCTTTGCGCCTACGCTCGCGCAGCCGTCGGCGGTGTGTGTGCGTGTGTAAGTGCGTGACGCTTCAGTGCGAGCCCGCGAAGAGTGCGTCATGGCTTCCCCCCCATCGATGCGGACGCTGGAGGTGCTGGGGGGTCATTGACCCACTGACGTCAGACCATCTGGCTGTGCTCTGCTCTCGGCCGTCGTCGAAGAAGCCCCGCTGCCTTTACCACCATGGCTCCTGCGCGAGGCCAGCTGAAAGCAGCTATATGCTGCCGGCCAACGCCATTCGCAGCCAATTTGGGTCGGCCTCCCTGAGCACTGGAGAGGCCCGGCTTCGCGCAACGTTCCAGCTTCATCATCGAGCCAGAAATGCGGGGGCCTCCGAAGCACAGCCGAGGCAGCGTTCGTCGGACTCGCTGCTTATCAAGACCAGCAACGAGCCATCAGTGAGCCCCCTCCCGTACCTCTGACCTCGCACTCGGGCATCGCACCCAGCGGACACTGTCACGCCTTTACCGCCCCTCCGCGCACTGGACGCTATCCCCCTTCAGCACCACGAACACTAGTGCCACGTTGCTGTGCTCCCTTCCGCAGTTATTTGTATAGTGTTATGTGTTTATTTTGTTATTTATGTTTGTTTCTCCTTTGTAATCATTTTTTTAGCAGCAGTAGCAGGGCTGGACTGAGGTTAGCTGTCGCTCATAGCAGTGTCATTTTAACTGCATGGGTGACGTCCGGCTGCCTTTTGCGGACCGGTAAAGGGCAAATTTAGGAGAGGGGGATGTGGGAATTGAGGTTGGCCCGCTGCCTTTAAGCGGGCTTTCCCGCCTTTTCTGCCGTTCTCATGTCCCGACATGTCTGCCCTCCCTTGCTGTCTGCCGCGCTGAGAGAGCGGAGTGACGTTTAACTCCCTCACCCGGTAGCGGATGTTGACGGTGGCGCCGCGCGCGAGGACTCCCAAGAGAGGTTTTCGCGCGCTGCGTCGGGAGCGGTGAGATACTCTCCGGGACAGCAAACGGTGAGCCACGCTATCTTTTCGTCCGTCGACTCCCGTCAGTCGGGGGCTCGTCGGACTTCGCTGACGGCGCCTCGCGCCCAAGGCGAACGCTCACCCGCTGTTTGCCCCGCTGCGTACGCACGGCCGAAGGGCGGTACGGTGTCCTAGTGCGTGGCCTCGCTACGCCGACCCGTCTCCCTTCGAAGCCAACGCGAGCGCCTTTGCCCTCGCTCGAGCAACCGGGCCTTTGCTCCGGTGTCTCCGTGGATCAGCTTTACCGCGGAGACGTGCTCGTGGCACCCCTGTGTAGTACTTTGTGCCCGTGGCGTGGATAAGCCTACTTGCTTTCCCGCCGCGCCTATTTGCAACGGGCTGTACTGCGTTTGGTGTTGCCACAATAAAGTGTTGCGACTTGAGCAGTATCGTGTTTCCCGCCACGGCGACGGTTAACGCGTGCCCTGCGGCTCGCTAAGACCGGACCCACGCTGGTGGCCGTACTCCTTCGGGATACGTGTACACCACAACTTGTCGTGAACATTGCACACGGGCGTCTCTGACTGACTGTATTTATATAATGATGACTCGCTGGACTTGCGGTGGGAGGTTCCGCTTGTCAGCATTTCAGACTTCGTGATGAAGACTGTTTCGGGACAACTCATTGTACTAGCAATCGAGCATGACATACTTTGAAACACCTAAGCACTGCGGCCAGGCACAGAACGATCCATCTTACTTCTTGAATCAGTGGCTAAGTCTAACTCCGCTCGCTACACCCCACGTACGAAATGAATCTGAAATTTGAAGCCAAGAATATCGTGCTTGAGGATATGCAAAAGAGATGAAGGTGCAATGTGCTTTGTCGCAAGCGATGAATTACATCGACTGCGAGCTCTTCAGAACTGTCCATTGGCATTTCACACCGGCAGTGGACCCTCTTGCCAAGCTTGTTGCGAAGCCACAGGTTGGAGTATCAGTGGATGTGGCTAGTAGGTTCGCATGTCAGTGCCCCAAAACCCAAGACCAAGCACAACACATGCCGATTTATCGTCAATATTTATTTTCAAGTTCGAATATTTTGAATAGTAGAATTCCCGTGCAAATCAAACTAAATAGCAAACACTATTAGAAAAATATTCAAAAGTTTGAATATTTGCACACCTTAATTCATGACCCGTTTAAATGAAGGAATCGCATGGCTGCATAGGGCCTCACAAAAACCTCTGCAGAGATAAAAGCAAGAAAGGGATCTAGAGATAATTCTGCTCTTACCTTGACCAAGATGCTTCTACTATTAGCAATATTAAATAATATCGCAAGCTCTTCTAGATTTTAGTATTAACAGTTGAAAGCTCATTTATTTTATAGGAAAGTGCATTGATGACAATGAACTTAGCATATGCATCCCCTCAGTGGTGGGTTTACTTCGAAACATCGTAGTTTGTGTGCACAGCATGTGGAAAACACTCACCAGCGCTGATGCCAAAGGGAGATTCTTCCTCAGCCAAGGTACCCTCGCTGCCCGAGCGGCTCATTTTCTTACCTGGGAAAGAGATTACCATCGTGTCAATGTGAGCTGCACAGATATAGTGAAAGAGCATTTTTTAAGACTGTTCCTGTTAAATAACTGCCACATTACTGCTCGACAAACTGCTTGACCTGCGCTGCTACACAGTTATGTACTTTGTTTTCAAAATTTCACAGTAGATGCCCAAAACATGTACTGATCAGTATGGTTGATCCAGAGTGCCCTATTGTACCAGTTTAAATGGAGTCACTTTAAGCAACATCACGAGATTGTATTGCAAACCATGCTGTTGTGACCACCACTATAAGCTTAATAGGGACGTTTCGTTTATCAATGTCCATCTGCCTGTTCTGCTTTCTGCATAACACTTTACAGTCCAAACTACAACAGGTATAAGTTTTACAATGTTGCAAGTGCCACTGCACAGCGAGCAAATGGAGAGATCCAATAAAAATAAATTTCAGTCCCATCAACAATAATTAACCTTCATTAACTATCTAACAGAACACTATTTCACTACTGTAGAGAATAGATCGGCAAAACTTGTTGAGCTCACTCAGACTGACTCATGAAATATATTTTGAGCATTGGACTGGCTCGATCTCATGAAAATTTTCCTGAGCCGGACTCACACTCTGGAAAATTTTTCTAAACAGGACTCACTCGGGCTCAAACTCGCGAATCAAACTGAGTATGAGCAAGTCAACTCACGAGTCTGTTAGCGTAAAATTAGCTTCTTTAACCATGATGTCAATGCTCTTTTAACACCAATATCTTATGTAGTCCGTGCTCTTCTTGGCACTGTATGGCATCATCAATCATCAGCCTGATTGCACCCGCTGCAGGGCAAAGGCCTATCCCATGATCCACCAATCAACTCGGTCTTGTGCTTTCTGCTTTCACTTTATACCTGCAAACTTTTAAATCTCATCTGCTCACATAACTTTCCATCTCCCCCTAGCATGTTTGCCTTCTCTTGGAATCTGGTCAGTTACACTTAATGATCAGCTGTTATCTTGCCCACGCACTATGTGCCCAGCCCATTTCCGTTTCTCGTTCTTGATTTCAACTATGATATCCATAACCCCAGTTTGTTCCCTGAACCCACTGTGCTCTCTTCTTGTCTCTTAAGGGTAGCTCCTATCATTTTCCTTTCTATTGATTGCTGCGTCGACCTCAATTTAAGCTAAGCCCTCTTTGTAAGCCGCCACGCTTCTGCACTGTAAGTACTGACAAGACTGCAGCTGTTATACACCTTCCTTTTGAGGGCTAGTGGTAGATTACAATTCATGATTAGAAAATGTTTGCTGAATGTGATCCACCCCATCCTTATCTTCTAATTACTTCACTTTTTCAATCTCATAGTTTGGATCCACGGTTACTACCTGTTCTAAGTAGACATATTCCTTTACCACTTGCAACAACTATCAACTTATCACAAAGCGTCGTTTTCTGGCGAGACTGTTGCATATTACTTTGTAGTTTTATGCAATGTTATTTTTCAGGCCTACTATTATGCTCTCCGTGTCCTTGTTCAGTAATCATGAGCTGTAACTCGTCTTTTGAGTTACTCATCAAAGGAATGTCATCTACAAATCGCAGGTTACTAAGATACTCTCCATTTAACTCTTATCTCTAACTCTTCCTAATCTCGTGGCTCGATTTGAGTCTCAGTGAGCCTGAGCGAGCCGATTCGTGAGTGAATTTGCGAACCTATTTATTATTTTTTTTTATTTACAGATACTGCTGTCTCATGTTTGAGACATTGCAGGTGTGGTTACAATAAACGAACAAAAACAGCAGAAATAAGCAGAAGTAAGCAGAAATAAATTATGCTGTGAAGAATCTCACAAAGTTAATGCACAACAGTTTGTCAAGTCCCTGTACATGCTGTCATATTAGATTAGGACCCCTGACAAGCAATTTTATTATTCCATAAGATCGCAGAAAAAGTCAACAATGGTTATGCATAAAGACAAATAATACAATAAAGTGTGGCACAATGAAACCCCGTTAATATGTAGATGCCGGGGGCGGCGAAATAACTACGGTTTAATCCCCAGCTACAAATTCGCACCTCCGGACAATCGCCATTGCTGCCATAAAATAATAAATTAAGTGCCACAGGAAACATTGCCTAATGTGCCCACTGACTTCCACAACCGCCCCATAGCAGGCCGTGGCAATGCCAAGGAGCATTTGGAAAATATGCGTGGTCCTGGGAGCAATAGAAAAAACACAATCGGCTGTCTGTGATACAGTTGTACTGCCATCTGCTTCTAAGCGAAAACTAGCGCAGTTTTTTTTTTTTTTAAACGCGGTACCGCCGCAAAGAACCAAATAGTTTACTGCATGACTAGTTGCATGCAGCGGTTTGCTTACGTGGCGCACATCGTGACTGCCAATCCACTTACTGTAGACTCACTCCGCTTCAGGCTATGCACAGATGCGGCTAGTAGCCTGCTGGGTTAACGCTGCTCTGACAAGCTTTCCGCAAGCAATGCGCTATCCGCAATGCTCTAGCAGTCCTGGAAATGGACCGAGGCTCGTTTGGGCTGTCGCTGAATAAAAGCGTGCAGTGTGGTTACAACAGCGCTATGCTCGCTGTACAGTGCACGTGTTGGTATAATACAGCAAGGTTTCTCGGTGTCCCCGACCCGCTACGCTAAACTCCACAACACCGCTTGTGCTTACGTTTTTGTAGAGCGGTACATGCTTGAACATGGTCCCGCACAGTAAAGTGCTGCGATCAATAGCCCAGCGCGCTCAGATAGTCACCTACCAAAAGCGCGCATGGGCCTAAAGTGACGCTACACCACACGCGTGCCCAAGCAGACAACCGGGATGTTTACTGCGCTAAGGCTTTTCGTCTGTGATAAGTCATACAGGCACAATAGTCGGTGGTCGCCACATCACCTTCGTTATTACTCGCAATTCCAATGCCGCAATAGTGTGGAACTCTGAATAGCTGATCGGCTGATCTGTGCACTTATCAACATGACGCAAAACCGACGTCTGCAAGTTAGCGGTGCAGTAAATTTTGTGGTGCAAAATGTTGTCGCGGTACGCAGTTAGTACGCAAGAACCGGTAGGCATAAGCAGAACACTACGACTCAAACGGTCCGCGAATGCATTAGTCTCTACAAGAATCGGTCGGGGATTTGTCACAACTACGTTTTAACCGTTAGTACACTTAAAGCAGGTATGCACTAATGAGGTTGGACTGTAGCAAACTTTACAGTACAGACATATTTCATGCATGGAAATAGGAGTATGCTACAAAGTATTACAGTATTTGCTGTGACATCTTGCTTGCATGCAAGTAAAACTGATGGACAGTTCCTGCAGCTGACCCACTATATCTATAGGTTTCGAAGATCAGAGCCTAACTGCATCAGCGTGTCAACTTTCATGCCTAGAATAATGAACTTGTATGGACCAGCCTTGTGGTTTTTTAAAAAAACCGGTTGCCCTATGTGCAGTCAGGAGGGTACATACTGACTCCCTAACGTGATCAAATGCCCAGACTGATCCGCCACGCATTTTAATATATAGCACCGATGACGATCGTTCAATTATGCGCTTAAGTGATAACTGACAGCGCCTGCTCCATTTTTGCCCAACGATGAGTATGTAAGACCAAGTTTTTCCAGTGTACCTATTCATCACTACACTACCACAGTAACACAGCTAAACAAACAAAGAAGGGTTGACTTCTGGCCTTGTTGGTACGACATATCCAAAGAGTTTAACACAGATACTTATGAAGACGGGACAAGATGAGGGGAACACACACACAGGTTCCAAGTGTGTGTTCCCCTTCATCTTGTTCTGCCTTTATAAGTATCTGCACTAAATTCTTAGGAAACTCTAGGAGCTGCTATAAAGGGGTTGTTGAAGCGGTGAACGAACCCTGTCTGAGACTGCCACAGTAAGTGCCAAACGCACCAACGGAATAGGAGTGGGGCAAAGAGGAGGCAGCAGTGCCATTGAGGAAAGAACCTCGTAGAATGTTCTCCAGGGGGCCCAGCCCCTGGTTGTTGACGATGGAGAAGCCACACAGTCGCTCGATCTGCTTCCAGCGGTGCAGTCGCTCTTGCAGGTCCTTCGTCACCTCCGACAGCGCAGCCCTGCACAACAGGACACACACGATTAAAACCTCGATCATATGGTGGAGAGAAACTACTACACTGCACCGATTGTGTGAGCCTGTTTTAATAATAAATTACAACTGCGAACATCAGCATAATTGTAATAAAGCAATTTTACTTGGCCTGAAGGATTCGGTTGTCGATGTCGTCAATGGAGCTCCCATGTGCGATGCGAAAAGAGCCCATGAAGCTCCCACGTTTCTTGCGAAGTTTTTCGCACTGTGAGAAAAAGCAAGATAAACAGCATAAGAAACATGTACAGCTTATCTAAAACTGCTAGACATATCGCAAGCAGGTTTAGGTTCCTCACTCAGTACATCGTTTGCTAAGCGCTATAGCCGTTACCGATAGGCTATCAGAATAACAGTATTTATAGGGTGCTTTACATCCCAAAACCATAATATGATTGAGGGACATCTCAGTGGGGCACTCTGGAAACTATCTGGTGTTCTTTTGAATCTAAATCTAACCATACAGGCCTCGAGCATTTCAGCTCCATTGAAAAATGCGACCGCCGTGGCTGGGATTTGATAGCGGGAACTGCGTGTCAGACAGATAGCTTAACTATGCAGCACCTGTAAAGCAAAGAACTGACCCCCTCCTTAGCAGCTAGGAGCTGCTTCTCGGCAGCAGCTTTCTTGGCATTGTAGTGGCGAGACTCCAGCTCGTGCGTCAGCTGTAACCAGTGCTGCAGGGACGGCGGGGGTATCCAGGTACCCGTACCTCCAGACCTCACTGCCGAGTTCAGCGCAGTTTGTGCTGTGCTCAGCTGATCCCTCAGAGTCCGCACTTCGTCCTGCAGGCACTCCACGATGCTTCGAGTCTGGTCGGGGTCTGCCGAACTCCACAACTCCCGTTCTTGCTACAGTAGACAGTTGAAAAAAAGTGTTTTTATAGGTTTCGTGAGACAAAACCAAAATGCAATGATGAAGCAGACTGAAATAGGAAACTTTTAGCTAATTCTGATAATCTGAAACTCCTAGCATGCTTTCAAGCACGTGACTGTTTTAGTATTTTGTCCCCTACAGAAACACAGGGCAGAAAGTCTGAAGAATTGGCCACTGAAGATTTTAGCATCCAGAATTTGAGATGTTCCGATATAATGACGTCTACAATGCAGATTTAGAATATCTGGACTCAAAAGGAGCACACTGTAGTTAACCACATCAGTTGGGCTTCCATACAAACTGAAAGAAGAGAGGAGGTTGAGGAAATAGCACCTTTACCTTTCCTTTCACGTGTAAAGTGTCATCGCCTACACTTTGGTTGCACCAAATCAAGTACATAAATACTATTCAGCGTCTGCATTTCCTTATTCTCGATAAGATGACTATAAAACCCCACCCCACCAGCGCATCAACCGAGCAAAGAGAAACACTTTCATATTGCTATTTCTTGAGAACGTGCTGAGGAATCCTCTCTAATTTTTTCACGTGCAATTTCATTTTGAAGTATATGAAAAACTCTAGAAATATTCAAAATATATTAGAAGAATATTTGACTCAATTCGTACTCCCACTTTAATATTAGAATTTCTTTAGCACCCACAATCTTTCTATTTGCACAGCTCTAATGAGTAGTAATTAGTCTTCAACACAAATGATTTTCTGAAACCTTTTGATTATTTTGAATTGCCAAGTGAACACACTCAATGATGAATATAGAAGTAAGACAAGTTTCATTTACCAATAATTAAAAAAAGGTGTTACGGGTACGACTATAAAAAAAAAAAAAAACTGCCCTAATTACAGGCACCTGTTCATGCAAGCTTCCTTTACAAAGATTCTACAGTATGCCACTCATAGGACCAGCTTTTCCTTGTCAAAACACTACCATTCCCACCCACTTCCCCACCCTAGAATTTGAACAAACTGCTTATTCGCTCAAGCTCTGTTTACATAAAAGAAATTACTTCATAATGTGCAGCATAATAACAGAAACCAAGTAGACTAGAACGTGAAGATCATTTTAGATTAAAGGTGAGAAGAAAGGTATTTAATATTCAACAGTTATTTGAAAGCTATTCTGTTTTTGAAAAGAGTTGACAAACCTTGGCAGCGAGGATTTCATCCTCCAGCCTTTGCTTTTGTATCACTGCGGTCTCCTGTTCCATCTTGGCCTTGTCCAACCTTCAGACCCAAAACAAATTCGAAATTGGTCACCAACCCAATGTGTACAGTTCCGTGCATGCATACACTGTCAAGCCTCAGAATACAGCACACATTTCAGAACTTCACAGATGTTTGAGGGCCAACAGCAAATTACAGCTCTGAGTTTTAAAAAATGCAATGCCCATGCATGGAAGCAACATTACAGTTCAGGAAACACTGCAACAACGCATTTTTGGACTAGTCAGGTCTCAGAAGATTACACAAATTCCAAAGCACCACAGATGTAAAAGTGTTTACTACAGCTTCGAGTTCCACAAGTGCCATGCACACATACACCAACTGATGTGAAGATTCTTAGCTGTCTCGCGTCAATTACTAATTGCCTTCACACAAGGCTCTTATGCATCTACTGCAATTAAATGTGGTTCCGCCTGATGCACATGCCCCACCGTGGTTAGTGCAGTAGTATAGACGGTTTCAAGTTCATAAGCGTTGTACGTCACCTCCTTTAGCAGCTCCTATCGTCGAAACTGAAAGCACGTTTTTCATTTCTTTTCAAGCGTAAGGAAAGTCTCTTTAGTTTTTCACATAAAAGAAACTTGCGTAAAGTACAAGGGAATGTTTCATTATTTTTATGTAGCTCAAAAGAACATTTATTTGAATATATTTTTGCCAAACAAGGGAAGGAAACAGTAGAAAATCAGCAAGCTATTTTCTAAAGCTTTTGTGGTCCATCAATGCTATTATAGCACATCGGTAAACGAAACCGGAAGTCATCAAGGGGCTGTGTTCGCAAAACCTGAAAGGGTCTATAGAAGTGCAAGAAGTGGTATCTTGTCTTTCTGAAGTAGCACGAGCTGACAGCATACTCTGGTTAGATAAAACTTTACTGCTAACTTTCTGTCTGCCAAAGAAAGTTGCGCGTGGTTGATTTTGCAGATTTGATCTCCACATCGCAGCCTGCAGATGCCTTTCTGTTCCCTCGAATGTGGCTCATTTTGCGAGCATTCCTCAGCCAAAGACAATGTGCCAGACATCGCACTGAATGCTATGACGTAACACCGAATGCACAACTTTGAAGGACAACGATCTAGAAAATGTGACGGTGCGAGTGGTGCTCACTCGCGCTGCAGTTCAGACAGCTGCTCCTCGGCTCTCTGCAGGCTATCCATGTCTTTCATCATCTTCTTCAGGTGGAGCTGAGAGTAGTTGTGCTGCACGTATGCAAACCAGCAGCCACCTATGGCGATCACCAGCGACAGCACCAACAGCACGTCCTTGATGTAGTTGTGATCTGCATGTGCACAGCAAGAAGGAGGAAAGGACTATGAACACAATTTGCCACTTGGGGAAAGATGTTACTCGAAAAAGGCATGTTTTTTTTTTTTCTGAAACTACATATTTTTGTTTTTACTTGCTGCCACAAGTACAGCTTTTCTACTTTTACAACAATAAAGATCAAAGTTGTAATTAAGCTCACAGTAGATTGTAGGTTAAAATTGCTTTTAAAGAGCACAAGGTGGCTATCAAAAACTAAAACAAGCACTCATCGTCTACAGTCCCCTGGAAATTGTCACCTGGCTGCCTGCCATTGCATTTGGCATGGGTTCACCAAAGCCATTTGCTCAAAATAACCGCGATTCCAAAGCCCATAAGATGGAAGAAATATTTTAAAAAGCATATCTTTGCCACTACATAAGATTTCATTTCTACTTTTAAAATGCCTTTTCTAGATGTAAATTTTCGGCAACTTCTTGAGTTGGGATATCATGTTTTCGGTACTTTTGATGAAATTTTGCCAACATATTTCTCAGCATGGGAAGTGTGCCATTATATTCTATAAAACCTGATATCACATATATAATCATTATGAAATTAAAGTAGGCAATTATTGTGGGCTGAGAATTTCAAGACTTCTTGCACTTCAATGTTTTTTCGCTAATTCAAACGTCTTATAGACACTTTTTTTAGGTGTTTGCATCCTACAGATGTTGAGCTATATGAACCTTTAATGGCCCATAACTAGAAAAGCTTAGTTGCAGAAAAAGTGTGTCCAAAAAGAGATACATATAAACATTGTCATGGTGCAAAATGAAAACTCATCACATATTTGAAATCAGCGTAAAAATTTATGTAAACAGCAAGAATTTTATTGCCATGAGCTACAGTTTAAAAAAACTTTTTTTTCACATAGCATTTCCCCTTGACTTCTTAATTTTATTCAATGCTTAGAGCTATACATCTGAGGCAAATTCCTGGATTAGCCACGAAAGAAACAAGAGTGTATATACGGTAAATCAAAGTGCCCAGGCTTAACATCCCACAACAAGTCCAGAGTTATGAGAAATGATGTACCAGTGGTGAGCTCTAGAGAGATTTAGACCTCGAAAGTCTGGTGTTCTTCCTCGAAAGTCTGGTGTTCTTCAGTTTGCCCCTAAATCGAAGTACAGATGTTGTCTTGCGTTAAACCAGCAGCGAAATGCCACCATAGAAACCACGAGTTGAAGCTGGAGTTTAATACTCAACAGAAGAATGCCACAGTAAGTAGACACCATGGAAGCTAAATAAAGGCTATAAAAAACTGTCAGGTGTCTCATTTGTGTCAGTGTATCCTATGCAACATTTTATGAAGTGATGATGGCAAAGTGGCACTAATGTGCAAGTAAAATGGCATTGCCAACAGTCAGTTACACAGGTGCTTTTTCCAGTGTACTTCACAAAAGCTAATGTTGCTCTATGCATCTCGTACTAAGCAAGAATGTGACAAGTGGTATGCTATAGTGCTATGCATGTTTATTACTGTGCTTCGCAAACCAACAGTTAGTAGTAAAAACATACGAATCGCTAAAGCAAGACATCAGGATATAAGAACCCCACTGATACATTTCGTTACATGATCAGGCCTATGCCCCACAGGACATCGTGCACATCATTATGCTCATCAGGAGCAGGTCAATAACCATCCATTTTCCTACTGTATCTACGTAATACCGTATTTCATCCCTAAAGTGTTCACGTCATTCATTGGGCAGGTGTACTTGAGGCTCAGAAACAGGTTGACGAGTACCGTAATTCATGGCAAATGAGAATGTGATCGACAGAACAGCTGGCACATATTCTACATGCCAGTATGTGCACCACACACTAAAAACTATCACTACATTTTAAACACACAGTATGGAATCGACGACATCCTTTGTCACTAACGAAACAAAGAAAGAAGAAAGTTCAGGAGGTGTACTGACGTTTAGGTGGTCCAAAGAGCACTACATCCATGGCCTTCAGGGTGAGTTTTTGTTTGTGGATGACGTCCTTGATCCCCAGGACACTGCTAAGGTAATTGTTGTTCGCAACGGCCATTCTGCAGAAATGGCATTTTCAAGTGTGGCTAAAGTGCTCCGCTTTGTACACAAGAAAGAAGCAAAAGTGGTACGTACATGTACAGTGCCAGCTGTGAAACAAGTTTTGCAACAACTATAAAGTATATTGCTATTAATCACTGCACTTCCAGATCAGTGTGTCAGGCCTCAAAGGAGGGCTTCTACGGTGATATTGGACGTCTTTCAAACAATGTGTACGAAAATCATCCTAACTAAAAGAAATCTATTTGCGTGCTGCTTTTATCATTATTATTTTAGTGAAGGCAGACATCTCGAGTGGAGACGTTTATTATGGAAGTAATTGAAAGAAGTTTGATTCATTAACTTTTTCTCAAGTATACACAGGTGGTTGGTATAGTACATGTACAACAAGCTTTGCAATGTAAGTTAAGACTAATATGTACAAAATATGCAATTCAGCTGATCGGTTCTATAAAAACAAATGTAAGCAGCTAGAAAGTCAGTAACTATGCAAAGCCCACCAGGTGAACACATAAGAAAGACGAGCAAGAAATATGGCAAGCAATTATGCTTATACAATGTATACTAATTGACTTCTTAAAAATTACAGACAATTACAGTTTACAAGAAAATAATTACTTATAGCAAGTGTGACAGTTTACATGAGTGTCTTGAGGGTCAATTTTTTTCCGTGAAATGTGCCCCAGAAATGTGAATTCTTTTATTGTTGAATTAAGTTAATCAGATGATTCTAGTTTGGAAAAAAATTATCAATTCTTTTTGTGACAGTAAAACGACAAATATTCATTTGTGTTGTTACATACACACGGTTTCGTTGTGAGCAACTGCCAGATGAACTCTCTCGAAACAATACAACTATTAAAAAAGTGCATTGAAATAAACATATGTGTAGTACACATATGTACAGAAATAAGTGCACGAAGTGGCATTAGGTGGAAACAAGGGGTGAAGAAGAGCCACTTTAGTTCCAATCAGCATCGTCTAGCCAGGCATACTTTTGAGACGTCATACACTCCTTAACATATGAGCTCCTACAATAGGCTGATATTTAGTGAATCAGATTATGATTCGGCAGGCAAGTGCCGTTTCAGAGGAATCGCTGCTAGACCAACTTGCAGCAAAGTAACTGGCGTGCACTTTCACAACGAAACCAAACTATGCGGGTGAGTGCACAGAAGAAAACTGTAGTTGTGAGCATTTCTGGAAAGCGAAAAAAAGTTAGGAATCTATAATCTTTGTCTTATCACCAACGCGACGAAAGTGTTTTTTTTTTTAAGTTCCCAAAACAGAAAATGCAACCACAGCGGTGTCGTTTGTGTCAGTTAGTACCTGCACGGAAACAGAGATAACCGAGTACGAGGGGAGGGGGGGGGGGAAATAAACGAGAGTAAAAATCAGTCATCTATTGAAAGTTCCTTAACAGGAAAGCCACCAATTTTGTGGCTGCCACAAATGGGTACCAGCCGAAGAACGAAACATAAGTTAGCTAGCACACCGCTCTAGTAAAGCATAAAAAAATAACAGAGATACATCGGTGCAAGTGAAAATTCCGCATATTCCCGCACTGTGGTCATCCATGCCAAGCAAGAGAAATGATTGAAAAAGGCGTGCATTTAAAAAGTAAGGCAACAGCGTACATGTACATCTTTGACCATCTTGTGGCTGTTGCATATGCCATACATTTATGTCTATGCCCCTCAAAGCCTTACACGATCTTAATTCACAGAGTGAATTCACAAAGTTGGTCACTGCTCTGTAAAAGGGTTGAAACACTGCACAGATCACATATTGACTACAAATAACTGTAAGAGGAGCAGCAATGTGCCTTCTCAACAATATCGATAGGTGTACTACAGTGCGAGCTTGAAATGCTGCTGACCAGAACAAAGATGTGCTTACCTGGGAAGGGTGGAGCCATCCACTGCATTTCCTCAAAGGTTTTCGCATACTGCGGCAGCTCAACACAGCTGACCAGCCACTCGATCGTCTCTTCCACTGTCCAGTTATGAACTGCAGCGTTGTGCAGATTGCGCAAGAGAGAAGAAAAGATTTAAGAACATGCTGGCACCATGAAAGGTACACTATGCTAAACAGGTGTATTGTGTCTGCTTTCAACGATGCCTTAGGCTCAATATCCAAAACATGTTAGGCACATCAGTGTTATGACACCAGTTAACAGGCATAGCTACCAAAGCTAATTCATTTTCTCACTTAGCAGCCATTATAAAGCAATGTTATCAAGATGAAGAGTTAAAAGTTGGTAAAACTACGTTCGGTCAAAACATTGAATCTTGTGATTTTGAAATCACTTGAAAAACTTTTTTTTTTTCCTTTTTTACGGCATACTGATAAAAAAGCAGGTCTACTTTGATGTAGTCTCTTTGTTTTGGACACTTACAGAAAGTCAGTTCTCTTGTGTTTTTGATTAGAAACACTGATTTTGGTTTCAGTTTGGAATTTCATGTGTGAGTAGTATAACAGTGCTGATACTTCAAGACCACCGCCCAGGCAATCGTAGAAGAATAAAAATATTTTCAAACAAATGGCATTTTTCTCAAAACAACATTTTTGGATGGCTTAGTGCAAGTTATTCTCCAAAACTAACAGCATAAGCAAAAACGAATTCTCCTCCGTTAATGTGTGGCACTTACATAACTGAAACATTCTTAAGCAGCAATTTTCGTACAATAAATGTAAAGAAACCTAACAAATCTAGTTTTTGCTGTATATGTGCTTAATTTCAGTTTAACTTCTACATAGCATTCTTATCTACCTTTGTACGGATTGGCTATACACTGGTAATACTAGATCTTAAAAAATATACATAGACAGAAAAAAATAAAAATTGTACCCAATGAAATGCAAAATAATTTTGAGCTCTACTACAATAAGCCTACCTATAAAATTCTTTGCAAATTATATAGCCATAGCTTTTATTACGAACCACTGCTGTACCAACCAATTGCCACTGATTTTCAGTCTCACTCCATGGAGGCTACAGTCTACTTTATGGAAAAGCTGAAGCTTTAGTTTTGAAAAAGAAAATTAACAGGAACCCATAGCTTAGGCTCCTGTTACACTCTTAAGTAACTTCTTAAACAATACAACAGAAACTTGTTCCACTAAAAAAGAACAGATAATTATAGCAATATTGACTTCAAAGTGTAATGAAAGCTGATTAATACATCAATTTACATATCAATAGACCCTTCTCATAATTGTAAAGCTAGCGTTCTTGTGATGTAGTTTGCTCAACTAATGGCGGCTAGTCACTATTGGTAACAGCATGTTCAAGCTCAGTTAGATTGTGCTAGGACGCAGAAAATGTAGACTTGACTATTCTTTGATATAAACTTCAATAAATGAAAAGACCAAGCATGTGCAATTAGAACCTTCTCTTCACTCCAAAACCTACCAGGGGCTGCCATTCAGTGGTGCAAATCCAGAAAAATCACAAGGAAGGACACACATATCATTGTGGCAGCCATATTATTCATAATGTTTGTTTTATATTATATTTACTGATATGAAAATTAAAATCTTACCTTGAAATCAAATTACAAAAAAATGAACAAAGGATCCCAACTTGCATAATCACTGCTATATTTAGTCTTCTATGAAACTGATTGAGCAGCACTTGAAGTTACAGTAATGTCACACAGCTGAGGCGTATTGAACACTGGAACATGCTAAAAGCAAAAATCACAGGCTATGAAAGTGCCGAACGCGCTATAACTGTCAAGCCATTCATATACCGTAATTACTCGAATCTAACGCGCACCTTTTTTCCGGTTAAACAAGTTCATAAATCCCATGCGCGTTAGAATCGAGTACGGAAAAAAAAAAAATGAATACGGTCATTCTATTGCCATCGGCATTTCTAAAATGGCCGCCCCCTACGTGCGTCGGCATGGCGCGTCGGCCATTTCTGCCTATGTGTTTCCCATGTGCGGCACTTCGTACGTGTGCTGAGGAGTTCGTCATCTTGTAGTGCATTAGCGTCGACAGCATGGAAGGGCCGATTCCAAAAACTCCAGTGCACAACGATGCCGCTTTTAAAAGAAAAGTCATCGCGTGTGCAGAAACGGACGGAAATTGGGCCGCATCGCGGTCGTTCGGAGTTCCCGAAACGTGCGTGCGGGACTGGCGGAAACAAAAGCAGAAGATTGTCGACAGCAAAGATTCACGCAAAGGCTTCAGTGAACCACAGCAGGGTCGGTTTCCGCAAATTGAAGAGCTGCTCGGCGAGTATGTGCTTGAGCAGCGAGCGGCACAGCGGCCCGTGACAACAGAACTGCTCCAAGTGCGGGCTGTGCAGTTAGCCTTAGAAAAGGGGCTAATGTGGAGCCAGTTTAAAGCGAGCAGGTGCTGGCTAACTAACTAACTTTATGAAGAGGAAAGGCTTTTCCCTCCGAAGGCGAATGGTCATATGCGAAAAGTTTCCGGAGGAGTACGATGAAAAGCTTCACAGTTTTCAGAGGTTCGACCTAAACTTGCGGCACAACGGCCACCTGCTTGGGCAAATCGGGATTGCCGATCAGACGCCTCTTTGCTTCGACATGCCTGGCACCACAACCGTCGAGAAGAAGAGGGCGAAGAAAGTTCGCGTGCTGGCATCGGTCCACGGTAAAACTACAGTGACGGCAATGCTCTATTACATGTCGGATGGGAACAAGCTTCCCCCGTACCTCATATTTAAATTGAGGACGCTCGCGAAAGGAGTCCTTTTTTTGAGTGGTGTGATCGAGCGGGCCAACGAGAAAAATGGGTGCGCGTTGCAATCAATGCCTTACTTTTTTTTTTTTTCGTCGTGGAAACCGGGTGCGCGTTACAATTGAGGGCGCGGTAGAATCGAGTAAATACGGTACACACACACACACACAAACACACGCACACACGCACACATGCGCGAAGCTTGAAACATAAATTTCAAGGGGGTCACTTGAAAGCATAGGTCGGCACTTTAAGAGACTACTCACTCGTACTCTTTCACCACAATTTTTTCAGCCTTCACCCTCACTCACGTTCATACTCACGTCTACTCCCACTCATAGGCCCTCACTCACGTTCATACTCACGCCTACTCGCACTCATGAGTACTCATTAACGTTCATACTCCCTCCTTGTCACACTCAGAGTACTCACGTTCATACACACTCCTCACACTCAAAATACTCACGTTCATACTCACGCCTACTCACACTCACTCCTACTCACTCCTTCTCACACTCAAAGTACTCACTCACGTTCATACTCGCTCCTTGTCACACTCAGAGTACTCACTCACGTTCATACTCACTCCTACTCACACTCATGAGTACTCACGTTCATACTCACTTATACTCATACTCAGAGTACTCACTCACGTTCATACTCACTTATACTCATACTCAGAGTACTCACTCACGTTCTACTCACTCTTACTCATATTCATGAGTACTCACTCACGTTCATACTCACGTTCATACTCACTTATACTCATACTCAGAGTACTCACTCATGTTCATACTCACTCCTACTCACACTCATGAGTACTCACTCACGTTCAAACTTACGCCAACTCACACTCTAGGCCCTCACTCACGTTCATACTCACAACTACTCACACTGATGAGTACTCACTCATGTTCATACTCACGCCTACTCACAGTCACTCACTCACTCACGTTCATACTCACGCCTACTCACACTCATTGTTCATGGCTCACGTTCATACTCAGGACTACTCACACCTTAGAGAAACACGGACTGCTGGGCGAGTTGGTAATTCATTTTAACTGAGGTGCTCGAAAAATTGAAGTACAAAAGGAAGACACCTCGAGACAGCGCGCCGTGTCCAGGTGTCTCCTTTTCGTACTTCAATTTTTCGTGCACCTCAATTAAGAATCATAGTTACTTACTCACCTTCATACTCACGCCTGCTCAAGATCATAGGCCCTCACTCACCTCCGCACTCACATAAGAATTCACCTTCATACTTACGCCTACCCATACTCAGGCGCACTCACCCACGTACTTTTACATTCACACACTCATCATCATCACACAGGGACAAAGGCCTCTTCCCTGTTCCGCCTGTCAACTCGGTCCTTTGCTTGCTGTTGCCACTTCATACCCGCAAACTTCCTAATCTCATCTGCCCACCAAACTTTGTCTCCCCTTTTCCCACTTTCCTTCTGTTGTAATCTACAAAATAACCGGCAGAAAACGAAAGTAATGAACAACAACCTCGAAAGAAAACAGCGCTTCTAGATAGGTGGCAGTGCACTTGAAGTTGGAAAAGGTATATACGTCTACTTAGGACAGGTAGTACCTACGGAGCCGAGCCACGAGACTGAAGTATCTAGACGAATAAGAGTGGGGTGGAGAAGATTCGGCAAGCATTCTCAGCTCATGGCTGGCAGATTGTCACTATCCCCTCAAGACGAATGTATATAACAGCTGCATCTTGCCGGTACTTACCTACTGAGCAGAAACCTGGAGGCTTACAAAGGGGTTCAGCTTAATTGAGGGACGACGCAGAGAGCGATGGAAAGGAACTAAGTGTTGTAACCTTAAGAGTTCAAGAAGAGACGCAGAGTGGATCCGGGAACAAACCAGTGTTAAGGATTATCATAGTTGAACTCAAGAAGAAGAAATGGACATGGGCGGGCATGTAGGCATAGGCGTATAACAGTGGTTCATAAGACATAACTGACAGGATTTCCAGAGAAAGCTAAAAGGCGTTAGTGGGAGACAGTAAGTTAGGTGGGCAGATGAGATTTATGAAGTTCGCGGTACATAATGGCAGCAGCAAGCACAGGACCGAGTTGATGGGTATGGATCATGGAAGAGCTTTGTCTGGCAGTGGCGTTGTAGGCGATGATGAATATTACATTGAGGTAGCTTTTACGGTGTACTCAGGTACTCAATAAACAATCGAGCTGAACAATTGATCGCTTTCTTTAAGGGTCGGTAGGTTCACAAACAGGCCAATGAATCGCGCAATACGACGCACCTGCACATTCATTTGTGTGCCATGGACGCGTAGGAGACGCTGAGACATCGTTTAGAATCTCAGTAATGTGTTACAAGCACTCAAAACGCGCTTTCGTAGGCTACGACGCACGCGCGAGAAATAGCGATGCTCTCGACAGCTTCTGTATTTTACACGGCCGCCGCTGATTACCCGCCAGAACCCAAGACGTTGCCATGCCATCCGGCTCGACCGCTTCGTTCGTTCCACTGCCCCTAGCCCCTTCTGACTGCACTAGCGGGACAGGCGGACGCCGCGGCCACCCCGGCTGCCCGGCCACTGGTAGGTGTTCTGTGGCCCGGCGCGACAGTCAATACGGCGCCTCCCCTCTCTGCCTCGCCTTCAGATAGAATGCATTGCGTACGGCAGTTTTGCATTTGAGAAATTGTGCGCATCTTCGGAGATGTTTTCCTTCCTCTGTGGGTCGCGCTCATGCGGAGACTTCGTTGGCTCCGTTCCGGCACTGATGATTGCAGGGGGCCTTATTTATGGATCTGCGGACGCGGTTAACGTTTATTGGCAGTGTGCGTACACAGGGTTATCGCGGACAGCCGAATGAAACGGTAATTAACGAGTTGCGTTATGTGTGTTTTTGTATTAGCCCGCGTTATGTGAATGATAGAATAAATTATCAAGGGTGATTGGGCGGTTATTGCACATTGTGTCTGCACTGTTGAAGGCATAATAAGCCGCCGAAAACTGAAGCGAGGGTAGAGATTGAAACGACGATGCGAACAGGGTCCGATTATGCTATTGCATACTATACCATTGACGGCGAAGCTCAACCGTCCTCGGAGCTTTCCTTTTTTTTTTTTTCTTAGTGGGGCACTGAGAAGGCGAAGTTTGCACACAGCTTCGCGTTTGAGAGGTCATGAGATCACTTAAGGTTTTCGTTCAAGGCGACCTTCACTTGAGGGACAAGGCAGAGATAGAAACTGCAAAATCGCTGCGCACAATGTGCGTCGCGCGCACAATGTGCGTCGCGCACACAATGTGCTTTCTCTCGCGGGCCATTTCAGTGTTTTTTTTTTTTTGTCGCTTGTGCAGTGCATTTGTTTTTTTTTTAACTGGCTCGCGCGGCAATTTTTGTTAAAGGGCTTCTCAAAACCTTGTTTTACATGTATTATCAGCGGGTTGCGTAGACTGAAGGCGCAAGAGGTAAGTGCAGCAAGAACGGTAGCTATATGGACAGGCAGCTCAAAGTTATTGAGCCTAGGAAATTCAAATTACAATAAAATGGACGGCTACCGTCAACTCGAGTTTTGCGCGGTCACCTCGCCCCCCCCCCATCTGATGTAGGATGGCTCCCCCAGTTTCCAATCTAACTGAAGGCTTTAACGTACAGTAAGCTTGCATGCCATTGTGCCCGTTATTTCCAATGTAATGACGCCGTTGCGATGGTTACAAATATTTATCACACTCATAGTAACTCACTCATGTTCCTACTCGTTGCTACTTACACTCACAGCAACTCACTCACCTTCGCAGTCAAGTCTACTCACACTCATGAGTACTTACCCACGTTCGTACTAATAAATACTCACACTCATCAGTACTCACTCATGTTCAAACTCCTACTCACTCATGTTCTCACTCACGTTCATACTCTCTCCTTTTCACACTCAGAGTACTCACTCACGTTCATACTCACTCCTACTCACACTCACAAGCTCTCACTCATTCCTACTCACACTGATGAATACTCACTCATGTTCATACTCACGGATACTCACACTGATGAGTACTCACTCACGTTCAAATTCACATCTACTCACACTCATGAGTACTCACTCACATTCAAATTCACATATACTCACACTCATGAGTACTCACTCACATTCATACTCACTAATACTCACACTCAAAGTACTCACTCACGTTTATACTCACTCCTATTCACGCTCAGAGTACTCACTCACGTTCATACTCCTATTCACACTCGGAATACCCATTCACGTTCATACTCACTCCTACTGACACTAATGAGCACCCACTCACGTTCATACTGACTTCTACTCACACTGAAAGTACTCATTCACGTCCATCTCACTCCTACTCGTAAGTACTCACTCACGTTCTACTCACTCCTACTCATACTCATCAGTACTCACTCATACTCACACTCACCACATTCAAATGAGTATGAATGAGTGTGAGTGAGTGTACTCATGAGTGAGTATGCCGAGCTATGCTTGAAAGGGAGTGTCCCCCCCAGTCTCGGCACAGGGTAGAGGGGTCAGGACCCCCCTGACCCCCCCCCCCCCCTGATTTATGTCGCTGGCATCATTAGCTGGGTGAATGTGCAGCGCGTAGAAACACAGATTATGAAGGGGGTCCATTGAATCAATGATTTAAATTTTGCACAATGCCACAACCAACAAATGAAGGGCTTCGATATAACAGAAGCAGACATAGCAAGCTGTCTGACAAAAATGAAAACCTAGGATGTTTCTTGCTAATAACAAGGTTTACATTATATATTTGTACGCCTAACTGTAGATACTACAACAAAATTTTTTGAAAATTTATATGTGGCTTCATTATTAAAAGAAAATTTTGACTATTGTAACTCCATATGAATGAGAGCTGGGCCTTAGCTTTTCAGCAATTCAATACACTGAAGGAGGAACTGAATCGAAAAAAAAAAAATGCATGCCAGAACAAAGAATGCAAGCAGCCACAACACTGCCAAGCATCTACAGAAAAACAATCTGGTGGATAGCTATGCAAAGCAACATTTAAATCGCCATGGTTTAGCACTTCTCCCGAAGCATTGCAATGAGACCACTGAAACTCTGCATGGGTATGAAATGTCGCCAATCAAACCTTTAAGCTTCCTTTGCTCAGTATAGATTCCTATAAGTGCTTTTCACTTATTTTTGCATATCTGTAATTAATAAGAATCAGTTCAAGTGCAGGCCAACTCAAGATGGTGACCAACCTTCAGAGACCTGCCAGGATTGCCACAATTCCTCAATGGAAATGTACTTGTCGTTGCCGTGGAATTTCTTCTGCCGCTCATAGCCATTCTCGTACTGCAGCTCGTCTCTAAGAAACTGGACACAGAAACGCAGCACAGTCACAACAGAGGGCAAGCACAACAGGACACACTGGAAGTAAAGTGCAACAAAACCTTAGCATTCCACATGACTTGGAATCCAGTGCTAAGTATATAAAAAACTTCTCAAAAAGCAAAGCGCAGGGCACTTTGATGTACGCTGCTTAACTTTTTCTAAACCAGCGCTAGTATAAGGTAACGATTCCATTTCAATGCTATTGCTTTCCATGTTTCACCTGTACAAATGATGCAAATGGAGCTTTTTTTATGCTATCAGCATGATCATCTTGTCACGAGCATTAAATGACAAGATAGGAAGAGAATTAAGCTTCAAGAATGTACAGATCAACCAATACTTTTTTTTTTAATCCCTTATGGCAAGACCACCTCTCTATTAAATAAATACTGACATAAAAATTTTTGTTTCATGACATTCAATGAAAAGTTGAGCCCTCAAAAGCCTAGTAAATGTGCTGGTAAGCATGAATGTAACTGAAAAACTAAATACAGCATGTTTCACGGGCTAGTTTGGGTTCGTACTGTAACCTGGCGTCCTAACGTGGAACGAGCTTCTTGTCACATGCTCACAGAAGATGTCATGAAGTTCCCAAAGCTGCCCCGTTTCTGTGAGCCTGCTCCCATTGGCAATGCACAAGTGACCTTTTTCAGTGTTTTTTTTTTTTTGTGATGCACAAGCAGCCATTTTTTAAGTTATTCTTAAAGAGAAAAGAAGAGAAAAGTGAGCCCCGCAACTGTCTGCATCAGAGTGCGACACGTCGACAGTAGCTCACGAGGGATGAGGGAAAAGGATGGATTGGATAGGATTAAAAGGTAAAGAGATAGAGAGAGAGAGAGGAAGGAGAGAGCGAGGTGCAGGGACGGCGAACGATGGAAGTAAGGAGAAGATAGGAAAGATGGACATGGTCGCAGGAGTCTGGGGACGAGGCACCACTCGGCGAGAGCTCTTGTCGGCGTCAGAAGATGGTGTAGGGCTGCGCCCAGAGATCGCGGGGGACCAGAGCTGCGCTGTGGTCGGAGATCGCGGGGGCACAACCGGTCGGCGCGAAATTTAAAGAGCTTGCAGAAAGCAGCCGTTTTAACTGCTTTAGTGCCTGAGGTCATCATAATTACCAATACTTTAGCCTGACGCCACGCTAGTTTTGATGTTAGTCGGTGTGCCCAGCAAAAATGAACTTTACTTTCAAAGTAATACATCTTGCTGGCATTACCTGAGTTTCAAAGATTTGCACAGGGTGGTACAGGGGAGGCGGTACACCTATAGCAGAGTAAACTCACCTTCGCGCAATGGTGTTAGTACCCCTATAAGGCAGTTTGACACATTAACAGAAACAGATTGTTTTTTTCTGGCATTAGTGCGATTCTGCTTCTTTCAGGTGGAAGTAAATTCAAGCGTGGTTTCCTTTAAAATGATACTCAACAACCACTGTGTACCACAAATGATGAATGCCGCCTCCTACTAGCTAGTTCATATTTGATTTGCGAACAAGAACTTGCAAATTAGATAGACAGTTAGGACTGGCAAGTATTCTTCAATCAGGAGTATTTTGATATTTTGGTGGACTGCCGGTTCTACTGAGTGTCATATAACCAATAAATCTATACAGGGACAAGCAAAAATGAAAAACCAACACTCAGTTAAGCATTTCAGTGCTATTGCAACCAAGAAGCACACAAAAAGTGGCAACAATCCAGTGGAGTTCACACAACGATATATACATGTGAAGACATGGCACTTACAAACAACTACTTGAGCACTAACTACTTGAGACCTCTCCCTGTTTGCAAACAGTCTGACGTTACTGCAAGCACCCTGCCTAGCATCCCCTCCCTTGAAGCAGGTGCTGGTTGGCAAGATAGTTCCGCCGGCGGGACCTTTCTGCAGAGTGCTGCTGCATGAGTCTGCATTTCTTTGATAGATATTTCTGCGCTGCTATTTTCTAAAGTCACAGTTTCAAAGGGAAGTGTCCCTACCTACAGTGCGCGATTATGTTAGAGTAACATATAGAAATTGGCTCGTCGTAGATGGCAGCCGTAACAAAATGTCATTCTCTTCAAGAGTGAACGTTCTGCAATTTCACGGTGACTGGTGCTTCAAAAAATACTTGCATGGCATGGATGTAACGGTACTTAATTTCCGTTGCGGCATGTGCAATACAGTTTTAAACAAGGTACAGCAATAGCGGAAGCATGGTTTTGAACTGCAGTGTGCGAGGTCACGGATAAGATTTTCACTCATTGAGCATTATCAACTTTTTCTTTCTGCCTGCAGTGCAAAAGCTGAAATGTACCCACTCGCAGATGATCACGTCAAATTCATTTTTACCTTGACTATGACTTCAAATTCTGAAGTTCTGTCGACCACCGATTGGTGCCACTGGCCCATGAGTGCCAATGCTTTCTCAAACAAGACCCATCATTATTCACACTTCCAATAACACACACAATATTTTCAGTTGCACCGCCCGTAAAGGTGAACCAATATTGTTGATGCCTATCAACGCACACTACACTACAATTAATTAATCACTGCACAATTTCGAAGAGGATGCTACTGCTCTTCGCACAGGCCACCACGTGTGTTCACTTTTCCTAGCTACATAGACAGCCAGCATGGCAAATATTTATTTCATCATGCAGTTTACCACACACCTAGAAGTTCTCTGACACATACCACAGCTAATGTTTACACTGTAACATGAGGTTAATTTAAGCTTTGAAAAACAAACCAAAATTTTCCTCAAGCACCAAGCACCTGTATTACCCTAATATGTAATTATTCTAAGCGGGGGTGTTTTGCCAGCCCCTGCACTGTACTTGAGCCAGTGACGTCACGCTGTGAAGTATCCCAGTAGAGGTTTGTTGTTTCAGTGTACTATGTAACATTCATATGTATTCTAATGCCTCAAATATCCACAAGCCAATCTGAATACACGGCCTAGTAAAAATTTCCCAGCCGTTTTTTTTTTTCTCAGGTTGTTTAGGTAGACTTCAGTTAAAAACTCCAAAAATAAAGAACAGGATTTGAAAAGGGTTCCTTTTAAATGCAAGTACTGCTAATACTTCTTAAAATATGTAATATACAGCAAGTGTTTCTGCAAACTAACTTCTCTGCCTTCATAAAAGATATGTTTGCAGGATAGATGGTTTGACACGACCCCATATTTGCAAAGTATGCAGCCATATTTGCATATGAGCTAGGTCTCATTCTTCATTCATTGCTCGCACATTTTGCATAAAGTACATAACCACGCAAACAGCAGAACTTTTTATTGTAGTTGAGAATGATCGAAAGCTGTGCCAATCTGTATTCATGATAAAAGAAAAAAAAAGAAAATAGAGAATAAACAGTTGACACAGAAGAGTGCTGCTTTGTCTTCTCTTGTGTCTTCGCTTGCCCGTGTTAACATCCTTTAAGTTTATATTTTGGGCCACCTTTGGCAATGAATTTTATTCACGCAACACAAACAAATCTGCCCCAGATTTTGTTGCACAAGATGTGGTAATCTACCACAGCTTAGCAAAACCACCACAAAGCAAGCACACCCAAAGCAAGTGCAAAAAAGAAGCAATATACTGTAAACAAGCTAACTCATATCTTGCCATTTTCACTAGAAATGTGTAAACAGGCTCGGCTTGTACATAAAAATAGGTTAAGTCCATTTCAATTTTGATTAGAACAGGTCGCAACAAAGGCAAGCTACACCTTCCTCAACTAAATGAAACAAATCCATGTTCGGCATGCTGAAGGTTTTAATCATAAAATACGATTTAAAAGAATGTCTTTCCAAAGTTTATTTCTTTCCAACACAGAGCAGCTGTAGTGCTGCTGCTACATCTGGAATAAGTTCCAGCACACATCAAGCTTATCCACTAAAAAAAAAACAACAACTTTTGCACAGGCTTTCTGATGGGTCATGTGAAGATTCAAAATACTAAGTACACAAGCACTAAAGAGACTACATGGAACAACAATTGCTTTCTATTAGTAAGCTACTCTTTCACAACACTAAAATGACTGCACTTGCGACATTTACTAAAGAGGAACTGTTGGCAAGTGAAAAAACCTGCAAAAAGAAATGCAGATGTCGTCACTACCTTGAAATTTCTGCACCAATCGCAGCGATGTCACATTTCGATAGTTTACGCATGACTCCACACAATTTCGATAAATAAAAATCAAGTACACTGTCCTCTCAGGGGGCAAGAGACCTAAATACCAAGGTTCAATGAAGTTCACCGAGTCAATGTTGCCTAACTAGAAAATATTAACTTTGATATCTGTGACTGCACGGGCAGAGATTTCGGTATAAAATTTTCAGGCGTCTGACTTATTCCCCCTCGAATAATAAGCCTACTACGATGATAACATTTAAGAGCACAATTTATCGACCTAACAGATTCATTGAGTCACTATTGTGGCGCTTTGAAATGAAAGCGAACAGGTTCTTGACAATAGGCCTTTCTCAGGTGTGTAGTATACACACGCACACCGATGCTGACGAGGCATGCCTCAATTTTTGGCGGCTGAAACACGGCAACATGTGAGGACTAGGCGATGTCTAGAGTTCCAAACTTGCAAATGTTGCCTCAAAAGAAAGGCGTGATTGTAGGTCTGCCAGATGTCATGCCGGCCCACAGCAGACAATTTCTATTGCCAAGGGCCACCAGTTTCGATTTCAGCAATCTCCGCTAACTGCTGTTTGGACCTGGAAAAGGCACGTTGTCTAGAATGTCACGTTGCAAACTTAAGGCGACATCTATCAACTCGAAGATGACATTTATGTGCAACTTCTTTTTTATAGCAATAGCAGTGCCTTAATGCTATGAGATGAAGGGAAGCTGAGAAAAAAATGTACACAAAAAGGCAAACCTCATCTGTCTCAGCGATGTCAACGCTTCCATTGTCATCGTCATCCAGCTGTTGATGCAGGGCTCGAATCGCTTCATAGCCTAGCAGGTCATCACACGCGTTCATTTTCTCGCACATTGCTGTGCTCCCTGTAAATGTGATGCCAGATCAATACACACATCTGGCAACTAAATTCAATCGTGAACAATTCATGAGCATAAGTGAGATACAAACTCTGAACTTGAGGCACAAGAAAAAATGTAAGTTCCTCTGCAACATTCTATGTGCATTGAATATGTGCGTGTTAGCTAATTAAGTGTGCCGGCTAAAGGACGTCTACCAATTGAACATTTGATTCGTGAAGCTAAATTACACTTTATGTGCAATTATTCCAAGCAACTTCTTGCATTTGTATACACAGTACTTTGTCCAGAAAAATCATTGCATAGGAACAAGCATATCTCTTGTGCATGGAAAGTGTGTTGGCAAACTACGCTAAAATGCCCTCGGAGATTTCAAGCATCACTCGTGTTGAATTGATTGATTTATGGGGTTTAACGTCCCAAAATCACCATATGATTATGAGAGATGCCGTAGTGGAGGGTTTCGGAAATTTCGACCACCTGGGGTTCTTTAACGTTGATGATTGATTTATTTGTGGGGTTTAACGTCCCAAAACCACCATATGATTATGAGAGACGCCGTAGTGGAGGGCTCCGGAAATTTAGACCTGGGGTTCTTTAACGTGCACCCAAATCTGAGCACACGGGCCTACAACATTTCCGCCTCCATCGGAAATGCAGCCGCCGCAGCCGGGATTTGAACCAGCGACCTGCGGGTGTTCTTTAACGTGTACCAAATCCGAGCACACGGGCCTACAACATTTCCGCCTCCATCGGAAATGCAGCCGCCGCAGCCGGGATTCGATCCCGCGACCTGCGGGTCAGCAGCCGAGTACCTTAGCCACTAGACAACGGCGGCGGGGCTCACTCATGTTGAAGATGGGGCTCGACGAGGCAGACTACTTTAAAAGTAACGTCGTATACGACTTAAGATGTTCAATGAGGTCGAGCACAGTAGGCCAAAGCACAGCAGCCAATCACCACCATAACCAACTAAATATTAGTCTCGTTTATACACTTGTCAAATGACCTCTGAAGGAGGGGTCGCCAGCTGTTGGGTCATGACATTACTCCAGAGCGCATGCCCCTTGGTGCAGACTTGTGTGCACCAACTTCAAAGAGGAAATACCGTGAAGTCTAGGTTGTGTCCAATCATACATTCTCGCTGATAGCCCAAGTGCTATTATCCGGAGCACGTCAATCGGACGCATTTGGGTCAGCCAAATGTGAAGCGAGCCTCTGGACACCTCATAACAGTGCTTGTGCTACCTCCTGTGCCTACACAAAAGAAATACTGAATGCATTAACAAACTTCATAGGCCTGGCCTATACAAGGTACAAGGTGTAAACCGTTCATTTATTCACAGTCGCGCCGACATCCGATCATAAAGCTCTCATTCTTGTCAAGCTAATTAAAGTTCTCCCACACAGTGCAATGAGAAACCCTACTTCAAATCAAACTCATTCACGCGATTCTCCGGCAGTGAGCCAGTCAGAATCAAAGTGAAACCCTACAGGAGAGTGCCGCAACTCGGCTGGCCTTCGCAACGCATAAAGGCAGCTCTATAAAGTGCCCGTGACACGCAGTCAGCCGTTGCGCGTCTGGAGCTCGGCAGACAGGGCACTCATGCGGCTTCGCATTCTTTTTTTTTTTTTTCAATTGCCGTTTAAACAATTTCGTGACGTCAGGCGCCAATGGACCGGCGCCCCAAGAGGGCCTAAGCGGAATGTGTCGTCGCGTCGCACCAGACAAGAAAGCTCTTCCCACACAAAACGACACACGGCACAATAAAAACAGGAGAAAAAGAGCTCTGGAACGCGGATCGCTAAAGACGCCGCGATTATTTTCAAGGTTGCAGCACGGAATGATCCCGATAGCAGTCCGGCAATTTTTGACCGATACCGGAAACACGGGAGATGACATTCCGGTGCGTCTTATCGTTATCGACCGTGACATTTTAGCTGCACCTTTACGTCTCGGCCCGCCAAGCAGTGCAACGCTTTCAAACGACGCTTTTACAACTGAGAGCGACTGCCGGAATCACGCTTTCGTTCACACGTGTTTGCTTGAGCTTCGGGGTGTGCGTGTGTTTTGTTGTCGCCGCGGCAGGGGGCAAGACCGAAGCCCCCGAAAGGAGGCAACGCAGGTTGAACCCCCCTCCCCCCCCGCTCACTCATTTACGCGCCGACACTCGCTGTACTAACAGGTTGCGCAGCCAGCAAAACTACCGGCCACCTGCTAACCTGAAGGGGGGCGTGATGAGGCCTTGTAACAACGAAAGTGAAAGTATTGCCAGATGCTTTTTTTTTTTTTTTTTACACAGAACAACCAGCGCGCGTGTCAAGGGATAGTGCATGACAATTATGATCGGCGTTTACACGAAACGAGCTGCCATTACGTTTAACATGCGAAAGGACACAAGCAAGCAAACAAAAAGATACTTTCAAAGCGACTGCAACCAGCTTCAGGGCGAAACGGTACCTGCGATCAGAAACGTGTCGCGTATTCTTAACTGTAAACACATCTCACAAAACACCGCTCACTAAGCTAACACGAGAAAAAAGGCCTGCGGGATGATGTAGTTTGTAACACTCTTGCAAAGCTGCGCCACAGACACTTGGGATTCAGCAGTGGTTTGACTTGCGCTACGCGCCCCACGCCAGAACAATACTGTGCGCTGTATCAATATTTATAGACCATTTTTTTTTTTCAAGTACAGTAATTTCGCGCCGGCCGGCGGGGCTACGTAACAACGGGTGAAACGCTCTGCTGACTTCCCGAGTACGTCAGGGAAAGGTGCAGCGACAGTCGTCCTTGCTCGGGCCTCGGACCCGTAGCCTTCCGAACTGTCGCAGGACGAGCGGAAAAACGGCAGAGGGTTCTGTCTCTTCCATTTTACCTTTGTCGTCGGCCGTAGGCGCACTGCCTTGCGCGGAGTGCGATGCATCCTTGTCGGCCGCGAGTGCATTTGCCGAGCGCTCCTGCACGAGTAGTACGCCGAGAACCACCTCTGAGAATAGGAACACGGTTACGATGTGTCGCGGCTGCAGCCAGTTCATGTTTTTGTCAGGCGTGGACGTCCGGCGAGCGTGACGCGCGCCTACATAAGCTCGCGTTAACTTTGAACCCGTGTGGCACCGACACATGAGTTATTTTGATGACTACATTCGCGCGGAGGGGCCAACAAAAGCGAGAACATTCCAGCCAACACAGTGAAACTTGGCGTCAGCCGTATACGGCCCCCACCATTAGGACCGCAGAATACGTAACAATAACAAACTGTTTATAAAAAGTTGTGAACATTTACAGTTGTATACAATTTACAATGATTATAGATTTTTAAAATGATGTTTTAAGTAAAACAATCTATTTGAGTGCGAGATGCTTGATAGTTGATCAGGTGACCTTATGGCGGTAAGTTCAAAAACACACTGTTGCTTTGGTGGCGCCGAAAGCGTCCGCTTTGTTCTGTGCGCATCATAAATGAATCAATAACAAAGTTGTAAAGAGTTCTACAAGCTTGCTTTTATTGCCTTCGTGTGTTTTAGACGAGGAAGTATATAAAGGGGAACGGAAAAATAATTGCTCTGGGTGACTGCCACACCGAATTTCACGATGTTTAATTCAGCGAAAAGAAAGAAATTAGCCTGCAGAGACTGTTGGAAGAATTCTTTTTATAATTTAGGTTGTAAAATTTTCAATCAAGTTTTGTTGAAAAATAAAATGTTTAAATAGTGAGTTGGTCATCAAAAATGACACCACCAAATCGGGATTTTGATGTTTTATATAAAACGCTGCAATGTATCATTACAACTATTTTTATAAAAGAAGGTAAGACATGCTAGAGGACTAGATAAGAGGACTAGATAACATAATTGAAGAATCCCTCACAAGATTTCAGAACTGAATCAAGCGCAAGCTGTGAATTCATATGCCGAATCTATCCGCTGCTAAATATACAGCCGAACCATGAGAGTGAAATAACTAGAAGAATAATGATGGGTGGATCATATTCAGCAAGCATCTTCAAATCATGAATGGTAATATGTCATTACCATTCAAGGGCAAGGTATATAACAGCTGCCTCGTGCCAGTGCTTACCTACGGAGCAGAAACCTAGAGTCTTACAAAGAGGGCACAGCTTAAATTGAGGCCGACGCAGCGAGCGATGGAAAGCAAAATGATAGGTGTATCCAAGAAGAGGGCAAGGATGGGTCAGAGGAACAGATTGGAGTTAAGGATATCATAATTGAAATCAAGAATTGGACATGGGCCGGGCACGTAACACGTAGGCAGGATAACCGCTGGTCATTAAGGGCAACTGACTGGATTCCGAGAGAAGGCAAACGCACGAAGGGGAAACAGAAAGTTAGGTGGCCCGATGAGATTAAAAAGTTCGTAGAAAGCACAAGACCGGTTGATTGGCGGATCATGGGAGATGCCTTGCCCTGCAGTGGGTGCGCAGTGAGGCTGATGAATATACAGCTTATATCGAACATTTTGTTGTTGTTGTTGTTGTTGTTGTTGTTGTTGTTGTTGTTGTTGTTGTTGTTGTTGTTGTTGTTGTTGTCGTCGTCGTCGTCGTCGTCGTTGTTGTTGTTGTTGTTGTTGGTTAGCACTTACAGATAGGCAAATTTCTTGACATCACTTCTTCAACTTGTCGAACTTTGGCAACTGCGTCAAAAAGTGTAGTCTCAAATAAAAATTATTGAGCGCAAACACTCGCCGAAGTTTGAACGAAATACTTCAATGACGTTCCGAGGCCCTTGCAGGTCTCTCGTTTCGAAGGGTCTAGAGTATAATATCTGGTAAGTTTGCACGTGAGCCGTCGTGTTTGTTCAGTGACTATGGCGTGATCGGCCGCGCCATAGGTGGGGGTTTGATTCCGACCACGGCAGTCGAATTTCAATGTAAGTGAAGTACTGAGGCCCGTGCACTGTCTGATGTCAGCAGCGCACGTCAAAGCACCCAAGATGGTTATACGGAGCCTTCCACGGCGTCTCTCGTAACCTCAATCGCTTTGGGACGTTAAACCAGACAATACAAACCAACCAAACCAGACTTTCACGTCTCCAAACGTTATATTAACATTCCAATACAAGATGTGGTGATAATGGCATTGCCGTGGCGATAGCAGCAATTACGGTGGGGACCCAAAAACAACTAAGAAGAATAAGTGCTCCATTCTTGCAGGCGATACTGCGCGGATTGTGCGGTATACCATGGGTGGATTATGGGAGTGTTAAGGTGACTCCATCCTTACCTAGAGACTTACACGTGAATTGACTAAATGATGACCAATAAATATATATGATGACCAGTGTTAACTTGATGCTTCTTTTAACGTGGCGAGTAAGTTAGCTACGGGGAGATGATTTAGATTCCAACCAAAAGTTTTGAAGCAACCCGACGTTTCGAAACCGACTTGGTTCCTTCCTCCGGGGTGACTGCGGGACTACGTTGCAGCGGCGTCTTCGAAGCCCTCGCGGGGTAGATAGGGGGTGTCATTATCCGCCCCGCGAGTGCTTTGAAGACGCCGCTGCTACCTAGTCCCGCTGTCACCCCTGAGGAAGGAACCAAGTCGGTTTCGAAACGTCGGGTTTCTTCAAAACTGTTGGTATTGAAGTCTATACATCATCTCCCAGTTTCATGCCCAACCAGACAGACTTCTGCCGAATGTTTACATTCAAGTTAGCTACGCCAATTGGCAGTGCTTGAAGTCGCCCGATTAAGGTGCGCAGCAGTTTTGATAGAGCACCTTGTATACCATTTGTGAGCGATTACCTCGTTCCAGTGGGCTACAGGCGTGCGCGGGATTCACCAATTCATGGGTAGGGGGCGGGAGGCGAAAGTTTATTGCAGCGCCCCCTCCTTTATTAAACAATCTATGAAGCAGAATTTGCGCCCCCCCCCCCCCCCATCTCGGGTGACTGAGGGGAGCGGGTGCCCCCTGCCTCTTCCCCCTCCGTGCACACGCTTGTGATCCGCTTCTGCCGGTTGATAACTTCTCGGTGTAATGATTCTCAGTTTGCATTACTTCTAAATTTCGTAGAAGGACACGTGTGAGGAATTTATTTCAATTCTCGAAAATTCGTGCAAGCTTTCGCTTATGCCGGGAATATAAGGAGTAAGTTTGTATTCCGTGCGTAGGTTAGGTTCCACGAGGTTCTGCGAAAAAAAAAAATCAGGCAACAATTATCGCTCTCACAGTGTCTAAAATTCAGAATTCCCTTCTGTAAATGCCATAAGTTTCGTTCAGATCAGTGGCTGTTTCTTTCTGGATAAGCTTGTGTAACGATTCACTAGGATAATTAGTATGTAAATAGAATAAATTACTAGAATCCTTAATATGGCCAACTTCAAAATATTTATTGCAAAAAAATGATCGTATATCATGCTAGGATGATCGCCATAACATGCGTTAAGTGACAAATGGTCAATCTTTCTTTCTTCTAAGGAAATAAAATAAGGCGTTTTAAGAAGCGATTATGCCAATATAGAACCGATTTAACCTTAATCGCCATAATCAAAATCATTGTCCGCATAATCGATTTGTTACTGCACAGAATCTTCTCCGAAAAAAATCTTAAGTGCAGCTTGTCTTGCCACTGTTGGATTCATTGACTGCATGCACACTTGCTAAATTTTATTTGAACAGAATTCTAGTGTCATCATAGACAGCGTTTTTCTTCCCCAATAGGCATGTACCCACAGATATTCTTGTACATGCGAAGCTCATTATAACAAGGTTGCATCTTGCACGAAAATACGTTCGCTGTATCCGAAAACTCGTTATGTCGAGGTTTGAGTGTATATGACTGCTCATGAGCAGCGTTGCACTTGTTTGCTTTTATATCTCAACCATGCACGTCGTGGTGTATACGGGTGCTCGGCTGCTAATTCGAAGGTCGCGGGCTCGATTCCGGCCGTGGCAGTCGCATTTCAATGAAGGCGAAACAATTCGGAGAACAAGATGGCAGACATTTTCGGAGCCCTCCAAAATGGCGTGCCCCGTAATCGTATCGTTCTTTTGGCACGTGAAACCCTAAATATCATATACTATACTAACATCCTACTGACCACTCCAATCTCTAATTCACACAGATCTGTCTCCCTCTCTCAGTGTTTCAGCCATCAAAGTTCGGTGTCCGTCAAAACTAACTAAGGACCTTTACCGCAATAGTTTACGCCTTTGAATAGCCTGCGTTATTTTTCCTCGCCATCCACCGGCCTCTTCGAAAAAGAGCGTACGGGTTTGTTTGTATGGATATGTTTACACTATAGTGTCCAGCAAGGCCCACTGGTCTAAACGCGGAATGGCGGAAAGGGTTTAACTGACCGTTCGCGCGCTCAGGTCGACTGAGAGTGCTTGGAGGAACTCCCGAACCACCGCACCGTGCATTTAGAAACAGCGGCCACTCTCGTAACAGCGACGCGTCTAGTACGCGGCGGAAGGTTTTGAACGGCGGCTGCGGCGAGTGTATATAGGCACATATGCAGTCTGCCGTGTCTATTTCTGCTTGCGCAGCAGCGTACATATGAAGGCACACGCCGGTTAGTTCGCCGGTTCTACTGCAGACCTCTACAGCTGGCATTTCCTCCGTCTATATCTATCTCCAGAATCAAATTTTAGAACAAAGCGTTGGTTGGTTCGGCCTTGCATGATGGTAATACATAATAGCTTTTCAGCGAAGAACTTACCCGACAGACTCTTTCACTGTACGTATTCTTAGCGTGAGCTGGAAGTAGCGGTTGCATGTGTCGTGTGTCTTTGTTGTCTTAGTTCTGGGCTATAAAGTTATATAATAGTCATTTAAAACACTGACTGCCCAAGCCTTCGGAGAAAAAGGCTGCTTGCTGTTGCTGCCGTCTTCATTGTTTTTGCCTTTGTCAGGTGCCACCGAGTGTCTGGCTTTCCCTGCTAACACAGTGAGCTGACAAGAAGAAAACGAATGCATTATGGCAGTTCTTACTATACGTAACAACCGACCTGAGTGATGGCATGTATGGGCGCTTTCTTTCTTATCTTTATAGTCTCCTTCCCAATTGCAGTGCGCATCTCTCTCTCTCTCTCACTATATATATATATATATATATATATATATATATATTATATATATATATATATAGGTATGGGATATGGCACAACGGGAGCGTTGTCAACAAGGATAAATATATTTATTTCCCAACAGTTTCGGGAGGGGTCCTCCCTTCATCAGGGGATAAGTTATACT